TTGCGGTGCGCCGAGATCGTGCCATTGCACTCCAGTCTGGGCAACAACAGCAAAACTCCGTCTCAAAAAAAAGAAAAGAAAATATGAAATTATAAGACTTGCTCAAGGTCACATTGCTAGTGAATGAGGAGCTGCACCTCAATTCAGGCCTTCTGAGCCAGAACCAGGGTGCTTCCCAGCAGTCTCTGTGCCATCATTCAAAGGCTAGCCACCTCATCTCTCCTCTCTACCTCACTTGCAGGTGGCACATGGCCACATCCCAAGTCAGGGTTTCACAGGCATATCCAAGAGGATCCTGAGCTTTTAAAGTTGAGGACACACTCTTGCCCACCTTTACAATCCTGTGCCTGGCTCGGTGCCAGGCACGAAAAACATCCAGTGAATGTCTGTTAGATGAATGCATTTTTTGATGTATTAAGGATTAACTTTAGCCAGTCACAGTGGCTCGTGCCTATAATCCCAGCACTTTGGGAGACTGAGGTGGGTGGATCACGAGGTCAGGAGTTGGAGACCAGCCTGACTAACATGGTGAAACCCTTTCTCTACTAAAAATACAAAAATTAGCTGGGGGTAGTGGTGGGTGCCTATAATCTCAGCTACTCAGGAGACTGAGGCAGGAGAATTGCTTAAACCTGGAAGGCGCAGGTTGCATGAGCTGAGATTGTGCCATTGCACTCCAGGCTGGGCAACAGAGTCTCAAAAAAAAAAAAAAGATTAATTTTATGAACAAAATAATTTTATGGTTTTATAAATTGATTAAACCCTAAGTTCTCTAGGGTGTCAGCCAGCCACAAAAATAAACTTTCTTTGAGTAAAAGAATATTGTATAGAAATTATAAGATCTCATTGCCGGCCCTAGTTCCACCATGTATTAGCTGTGAAATCCAGATCTGCTCATTTTTTTAGAGAGGTTGGCCCTGCTGGCATCTGTAGTAACCTCCAGGTCTCAAATGCTATACTTCTTGGAGGAACACCGAGTGTGAGCACTTTCATTGCCAGTTCAGGGCATTTTACCTAAGAAAATGATTCACTGTGGCCTGGAGCAATGAATTGGGCAGTTTAAAGCAGTAATTTTGCTTAGGCCATTTCTGAAGCTGCTTTTCAATAAGGAAAAACACTTGAGAGATATCTGCACACAAAAGCAGATAGAGAACTAACATGAAATCTTCTAAAGTTTCTTTTTTTTTTTCTTTTTAAAAGATGGGGTTTCACCGTGATGGCCAGGCTGGTCTTGAACTCCTGACTTCAGGTGATCCACCCACCTCGGCCTCCCAAAGTGCCAGGATTACAGGCATGAGCCACCATGCCCAGCCAAGTTTCTTTAAGAACATTTTGTAATCTGAACCTGAAAACTTATAATACTGCTAAAATATATGGCTGAATAAGGCACATTTTTGATAAAGTACAAATAGTTGTAAGAGATTATTTTTCAATTTAACATCCCTTTGGTGGTACCCAGTTTTTAACCTTAAGAGAAAGGTGTCCCAGAAAGATGGGCTAAGGATATGATTGAGAACTAATGAAATAAATTATAGTAATCAAATACCTTAGGCTAAACACAGATTGAGGGGGAAAAAATTCAAATTTTAGGACGATATATTAAAATAAGTTAAAGAGGCCATACTATGTGGGATGATGTATGCATCACTTAAGTATGGAAACAGGAATAAGAAATGGGGGCCCCTGAGAAGGCTCTATTGGAAGCAGCTGAAGGTTTCAGACTAAGTTTTTGAGCAGCAGGTTTTAAGTCCAAGGCAATCATTGGCAAAGTTCTCCTGTCGAGAAACAGGGAATTCCAAGACATTACATGTGTTCCGAAAATTGGACTGTTTCCAGCTTTTTTATTAATTTACACATTTTGCATGCCTGGCATTGTACTCATCGAACAGTGGCCTAGCCAACATAAATAATATTGAATTCGTTAATAACTAGCTGCAGGGTTGGTGATAAAATGGAAGTAAGTGAAAGCTACAAATATTGGCTGGGCTCAATGGTTCATGCCTGAAATCCCTGTATTTGTACTCAGGAGGCTGAGGTGGGAGGATCGCTGGAGCCCAGAAGTTCGAGACCAGCTTGGGCAATATGGTGAAACTCATGTCCACTAAAAATAGAAAAATTAGCCAGGTGTGGTGGCACAGGCCTGTAGTGTAAGCTACTTGGGCGGCTGAGGTGAGAGGACCACTTGAGCCCAGGAGGTGGAGGTGGCAGTGAGCCGAGGTCGTGCCACTGCACTCCAGCCTGGGTGTCAGAGTGAAACCCCATCAAGAAGAAAGAAAGAAAGAGAGAAAGAAAGAAGAAAGAAAGAAAAAGAAAGAAAGAGAGAGAGAGAGAAAGCTGCAAACATTAGAGACCCTTTCTGTACACAGTTATGCTGCATTTGTCACACAAAGCTCTTAGATGTCTCTTTATTTTATTTTATTTTTTTTGGTTAAAGTGACAGGATTCCAGCCTGGGCAACATGGAGAAACCCTGTCTCTACTAAAAATACAAAATATTAGCTGGACATGATTGATGTGAACCTGCAGTCCAGCTACCCAGGAGGCTGAGGTGGGAGAACTACTTGATCCTGTGGGGTTGAGGCTGCAGTGGGCTGTGCTCATCCTCTGCTGCACTCTAGCCTGGGTGACAGAGTGAGACCCTGTCTCAAAAAAGGAAAAGAAAAAGGCAGGGCACGGTGGCTCACGCCTGTAATCCCGGCACTTTGGGAGGCCGAGGTGAGTGGATCACAGGGTCAGGAATTCAAGACCAGCCTGGCCAACATAGTGAAACCCCGTCTCTATGAAAAATAAAAAATAAAAATAAAAAAATAGCCGGATGTGGTGGCCAGGCACCTGTAATCCCAGCTACTCCGGAGGCTGAGGCAGCAAAATCACTTGAACATAGGAGGCAGAGGTTGCAGTGAGCAGAGATCACACCATTGCACTCCAGCCAGGGTGACAATGTGAGATTCCATCTCAAAAAAGAGAGAGAGAGAGAGACAAGAGCTTGCTCTCTTGCACAGGCTGGAGTGCAGTCGCATGATGACTGGGTTCACTGTAACTTTCAGCTCCTTGGCTGAAGCAATCCTCCCACTCAGCTTCCTAGTAGCTAGGACTATATGCATGTGCCACCATGCCTAGCTAATTTTTGTAGAGGCAGGGTCTGGCTATGATACTCAGGCTGGTGTCAAACTCCTGGGCTCAAGCTGTCCTACCACCTAGGCCCCCCAAAGTGCTGGGTTTATAGGCATGAGCCACCAACACAGCCTTTTTAACCCCAGAACTGATGATCCTCCAGTCTCCACATGCTTGCTTCTTTTCATTACATGCCAAGTACACTACGTGCTCTACGTTGTTGTATTTTCTTCTCACACAATGCTTTGTCATTGGTATTGTTAATTCCTAGGTTGCAGATGAGGAAGTAAAGCTCAGAGAAGTAACTTGCCAAATATCAAACAGCCAGTAATTGTCAGGAAAAAATAATTCTCAAATTCACGTATTGCCTTTATGTAAAATATTAATATCTTTATGTAATTTAATCTAGGTGAACTGATGATGTGTTCATCCTTTAGCCTATGGATTAGAGTGGTGAATGTAACTTTCCGATATGAAATAAAATGCTTAAGAAATTTGAGAACACTTGTGAAAGTGAAGTTCAACCTAATTTGTTAATGTTTTCTAATGGTCTTTGTCATCAGTAGCTAAAGAAACCACTAATTTAATGCTTTAAGCAAAACCAAAATCATAATTCATTAATTTGTTAATTATTTCTTCTTTCTGTACATATTAGCTGACTTTTACCTTGTTCTTGCAAATCCTTAACCATTGACTGATAGCCCAGTAAGCTGTTGCCTATTTATCTGATAATTCTCTCACCGTTCTATTGGGAAGCAATAGAAAATCATTTCAAAATCAGTATGAGCTGGGCGCTGTGACTCACGCCTGTAGTCCTAACACTTTGGGAGGCCGAGGTGGGTGGATCACCTGAGGTCAGGAGTTCAAGACCAGTCTGGCCATCATGGTGAAACCCCATCTTTAAAAAAAAAAAAAAAATCAATATGAGAACTCTGAGTAAAATAGCATATTACCAAAACAAAAGTATATACCCGTTAGCTTTTTAGGAAGTTCCTATTTTCCCATTAAAAACAAAAACTAATAGCCAAAACCAATGTCAAAAGCGAGTGAGAGGTGGGTTTTTATGAACAAAAACCCATAAAAAGAGGATTTGTGCTCTAAAATAAAAATCTAGTTTGCAGGGATTTTATCAGAAATGGTAGTCCTTCAACAGTGCCTTTAAAATTCTTTTGGTGTAAAATTGCAACTATAATTATAATGTTTTAGTTTTTGGCTAAAATTTGGTTGCCTTTGCATCTCATGCAGAGCCAAAAGAAGAAGAAATTAGAAGCATTGGAAAAACTGCACAGCGACTACAGGATGTCCTGTTGCATTTATCTGAGTAGACAGACCCATGACTCACTATAAAACTTGACACATCGGAAATGGTTTTATTGTGCCTGGTACTTTTCTCTTCATGACTATTAAACACATAGATTTGAGGATAACAAGATCCATTTGTCCAAATATAAAGGTATCTGCTTTAATTCTTTTTGAAGTGAGAAGTTAATTGTACACAATGATAACTCAGAAAGTATATGCAGCATCCATCTGGTCAAGCCTTGTCTCAGAATCTCAGAAACTCTAGTAATCACCCCTTCTTAAATTGATGATAATAAATGATATGAGGAAGATGTCTCTTGATCGAATTGATGTGTTTTACCCTTGTTTGGCAAAGTTGGGGTAGCACTTGCTCTATTGAAAAACCTCTTTACAGGAGGCTGAGGCAAGAGAATCACTTGAACCTGGGAGGCGGGGGTTGCAGGGAGCCGAGATTGCATCACTGCACTCCAGCCTGGCGACAGAGCGAGACTGTCTCAAAAAAAAGAAAGAAAGAAAGAAAGAAGAAAGAAAGAAAGGCCGCGTTAGCCTTGAGCCAAACGAAATTGATATATTGCAAAAACTCACCAGTAATCTAATAATAAGATCAGCTTCACATCAAAAGGGATGGCAACTGTTTTTCATTGTGATAAAGCAAAACAAGTTCCATGCATTCAATTTTCCAAATCCTTTAAAAAACAAAATAAAATGAAGAATACATACATCTATTCTCTTCCTCTTTTTTTTTTTTTTTTCTTTTTTTCAGAGACAGGACCTTGCTCTGTCACCCAGGCTGGAGAGCAGTGGTGCAATCATAGCTCACTGCAGCCTGCAGCTCCCGGACTCAAGCAATCGTCTGGCCTTAGCCTCCTGAGTAGCTGGGACTACAGGTGTGCACCATCATACCCAGCTATTTTTGTTTGCTTTCAATTTAATTTAATTTTTTTTGAGACAGAGTCTCATTCTGTGGCCCAGACTGGAGTACAGTGGTGTGATCTTGGCTCACTGCAACCTCCACCCGCCGGGTTCAAGCTATTCTCCTGCCTCAGCCTCCTGAGAAGCTGGGATTACAGGCATGTGCCACCACTTCCGGCTAATTTTTGTATTTTTATTTTTTTAATATTTCATTTATTTATTTAATATTTGTTGCTGCA